TTTCTTCCCCTCTCTTTCATTCCACTCTCTTTATTTTCCCTCTCTTTCTTTCCCCCTCTCAATATTTCCCCTCTCTTTATTTCCTCTCTCTTTTTTCCTCTCTTTATTTCCTCTCTCTTTTTCCCCTCTCTTTATTTTCACACCTTTTCTTCCCCTCTCTTTTTCCCCCCTCTCATTATTTCTCATCTCTTTATTTCCTCTCTCTTTTCCCCTTTTATTTATTTTCCCACCTTTTCTTCCCCTCTCTTTCATTCCACTCTCTTTATTTTCCCTCTCTTTCTTTCCCCCTCTCATTATTTCTCCTCTCTTTATTTCCTCTCTCTTTTTCCCCTCTCTTTATTTTCTTAAAACTTTCCCTCTCTTTCATTCCCCTCTCTTTATTTTCCTCGTTTTTCTTTTAGAAAACCTCATTATTTCTCCTCTCTTTATTTCTCTCTCTTTTTCCCCCTTTATTGCCATTTTCACCTTTTCTTCCCCTCTTTTTCCCCTCTCATTTATTTTCTCTCTTTATTTCCTCTCTTTTTCACTTTATTTATTTTTTCCCACCTTTTCTTCCCTCTTTTCATTCCACTCTCTTTATTTTCCCTCCTTTCTTTCCCCACCTCATTATTTCTCCTCTCTTTATTTCCTCTCTCTTTTTCCCTTTCTCTTTATTTTCACACCTTTTCTTCCCCCTCTTTTCCCCCTCTCATTATTTCTCCTTTCTTTTTTTCCTCTCTCTTTTTTTCACTTTATTTATTTTTCCCCCTTTTCTTCCCTCTCTTTCATTCCACTCTCTTTATTTTCCTCGCTTTCTTTCCCCACCTCATTATTTTCCCCTCTTTATTTCTCTCTCTTTTTATTTTCTTTATTTTTCACCTTTTCTTCCCCTCTCTTTTTTTTCCCCTCTCATTATTTCTCCTCTCTTTTATTCCTTCTCTCTTTTTCACTTTATTTATTTTCCCACCTTTTTTCCCCTCTCTTTCATTCCTCTCTCTTTATTTTCCTCTCTCTTTCTTTCCCCCACCTCATTATTTCTCCTCTCTTTTATTTCCTCTCTCTTTCCCCTCTCTTTATTTTCACACCTTTTCTTCCCTCTCTTTTTCCCCCTCTCATTATTTCTCCTCTCTTTATTTCCTCTCTCTTTTTCACTTTATTTATTTTTCCCACCTTTTCTTCCCCCTCTCTTTCATTCCTCTCTTTTATTTTCCTCGCTTTCTTTCCCCACCTCATTATTTCTCCTCTCTTTTATTTCCTCTCTCTTTTCCCCTCTCTTTTTCACACCTTTTCTTCCCCCTCTTTTTTCCCCTCTCATTATTTCTCCTCTCTTTATTTCTCTCTTTTTTCACTTTATTTATTTTCCCACCTTTTCTTTCCCTCTCTTTCATTCCACTCTCTTTATTTTTCCTCTCTTTTTTCCCCTCTCTTTATTTATTTCCCCTCTTTATTTCCTCTCTTTTCCCCTCTCTTTTATTTCACACTCTTTTTTCCCCTCTCATTATTTTCCCTCTTTTCTCCCACCTATTTCTTCCTCTTATTTTCCTTTCTTTATTTTTTCCCTTTTTCCCTATTTCATTATTTCTCCTCTCTTTATTTTTTATTTCCCCCTCTCTTTTTCCCCTCTCTTTATTTTCCCACTTTTCTTCCCCTCTCTTTCATTCCCCTCTCTTTTTTTCCCTCGCTTTCTTTCCCCACCTCATTATTTTTCATTTACAAATTCATGAATTATTCACACAAAAACAAATGCAAAGGTTAATGATTTAATTGGCGAGAAATCCATCGTCGCAAACAATTCAAATAATATACAAAACCTCCGAATCCGTTATGAATGAAAAGATCCTTGTTTCTATAAATTTCTGCCGTATTAATTTTATTTTTTACTACAAGCTTTCTGTGTGTTCCTACAGACATCTTCAGGTATAGAATAGATGTTGTTCTTGTTTTTTCTCTTAGTAATAAGAGGACAACGAAAATATATGTATTGTTGTATCCGAAAATGCTATTGGAAATGAGTTATTGTTTTTGGAGCGCGCAGTAGCAACGCTGAGTTTGATTTTAATTTTTTTAAAGTTGTGCGTTCATGTACAAATATGGTGATGAACGAATTTTTTACTGGTAAATTTTCTGTCAAAGTGGCATGAACTATATTGTTCAATAATTACAAATAAAAATAAGAACTAATAATGGATATATTGGTGAAACTGGAAATAATTTTAGATTTCGCTTCAACAATCATAAACAAACCATACCTCAAAACAATCCTTATGTCCCCATAGCTGAACATTTTAATCAATCAGGACACTCATTAGAAAACTGTAAATGTTTATTGATAGATTCTGATTTCAGTTCCACATACACACACAGAAAAAAAAAATATTGGATTTTAAAATTAAATACATATAAACTAGGGTTAAATAAAAACTTGGGTATTTTAAATCTTTATAAATATTTCAATAGTTAAACATTTTTTAGATATAGTTAAAAAATTTTTTTAAACAACATCTCAAATATTATTACAGTTAGATTTACGTTAAAAATATTCGAACACACTGGCGTTCCATATCACATGACGTCCGCATCTCGCGACGGACGCTACTTGTAAACAAACCTCTAAAAACAGTTATTTCTAAAGAAAGATCGAGGTCGATCTGAAATATCAAAACTACATATACATATAAATAAATATAAAAAAATATATATAAAAATATATAAATAAATAGTTTCATAAAAAAAACATTATTATTTTTTAATTTGAAACTTTTTAGTTGTTATATATATATATATATATATATATAGTCATTATACTCGCTTTAGTCTTTATACTCGAGTGGCTTTTTTTTTCTTTGGACTAATGACTTAAGACACTTGACGATTTCTTTCGCCTTGTTCTGATGTTTTAAGTTCTTTCTTTTTTACTTCGATTTTTCCTCAGGTATTGATTTGCCTCAGGTGTTTACAAGTTGAGTCATCCGAGGTTTTTCAAGCGAGTAATACTGTTAATATATATATATATATATATATATATATATATATATATATATATATATATATATATATATATATATTTGAAACAGTACAGAAACGTATTATGGCATAAAAAAGCAAAAATTTTATATTATAGGCCATGATAGATTTAAAATAAAGAAAAAAACACCTGTCGACCGGTTTCGTCCCATCTATCATGGCCTATAATATAAAATTTCTTGCTTTATATGCCATATATATATATATATATATATATATATATATATATATATATATATATATATATATGGATTTGGATAAGGGCGTTTCTTGATTATTTCTCCCCACATACGGTTCGCTCTTTTGAAAAGTAGCCCACTGCATTCAATAAAATCTTTACAACATGGTCATTTACAGAAATTAATGAAAATCCCGAGCAGCGAATAAAGGGCGATGATTAAACCTGACGGGGGCTGGGGGCTAATTTTCTCCCTTTTACAACCGGAGAGATAGTGGAAGATTGGTCGCTGCCTTTTATCAATCAGTGGCATTTGGTTGGACCGTGCCGAATGCCATTGCATTGTCTGGTATTGTCACAGACTTGCTGGTTTCAGCTATTTTTTCACCTGTTTCATTCTACCGGGCAAGTCGAGATTAAATTGATAGATACAACGTCTTAGCTATTAAAGAGAAGAAGAACACCCACACACTTGGGCATCTTGGAGACACAGTTTTTGGATAACAGCCAGCCTATGACCTTCATCATCTGCGATTTTCCTAATTTGGATAAATTATCAACGCAACATTTTAAAACATTTTGGCACAAATCAATAATTAGGAAATGTCAAATTTCACAGTTAGTGCTAGAGCTTCTCTCACGCTTCATGAAGTTTACAGTCGTGCTGGTAGTATTTAGCAAACTTGGAACTGTGCGCAAAACACTCGAGGCGGGATTAGTTTTAATTCATCCTTAAATTAGAGAATGAATTAAAATTGTCTAGACCACAACAATGTTATGGCATGAAGGAATATTAAGGAAAAATGGCTCTCCACAGATTGAATAACTGTGAATAACTACACATTTGGTAAATGATTAGTGTTTTGTTGCCTTCTCTACGATGTGGGAATTCAGAGATTTCCTGTGAATAACTACACGTTTTGGTAAAGGATTAGTAGACAGCCATTATCACCTACGTACTGATGGGTCATGAGGTCATAAATAATGTTATTGCACACTAGCACACCCAACTCCGAAATCACCCCACCAAATATTGTATCTAAAATCAGAATATTTTATGCATGTTAGTCTCAAATCTCATTACTACAGAGTTGCATTCTCTTTGGATGCTCTCTAAATGTAGCCTTATGTCAGCTATGGCTCTGTTCAAAAAGAGCTGTCAAAATGTCGTGAATATGGCAATGAGGATAACAGTCCGAATAAGGCAAATAATCATAATACCTCATCTCAGGGCTATAGACAGACAGTTGGGAATTATAATTAGAATAACCCAGAACTTATACTGGGCGCAAACCAACCTGCATACGGGTTGAACACGAATTCAGTAAATACACAAAAATAAAATAGAAAATGGCGTCAGACAATTGGTTTCGTTGATGCGTTTTCTACGGTTTATCAACCCTTTGCAGGTTATTTAAAGCCAGAAAAATATTTAAATTGTAAATTTTCTTTTAGATAATAATGGTATAATGATACAAGTCGTACTAATTAACCCATAGCTGGTGGAGAAAAATGGATTCATACCTTTCCCAAGCGTATTTGCACGAAAGTGAATATAACAAAACTAACAGGAATTGGAACTCGGCTCTCCGATTAACAATTCCGAGCTGTTATTTATTACACCAGCCGCACATCTAAGCTTGCAGCGCCTGGTATTCCCAATGCGCGACCCGCAGACTGTCTGGTTACATAGTTGACGTGATAACCCGTGCTTTGAGAATCATTTTCAGGACTAACACACTCACTTTCTCCTGATTACATGGTATGCGATTATCGTTAGTCCTTTTAAGGGAAAATTCGTTTTCTTCCCCCTGATTGCATGAGCCAGGGCACTACCTCTCGTTCTGGTACCTATATCGCTTCTCAAAGGTACCTGCACTCACAGCCACGACATCTCGTCCCGGCATCTTCAGTGTTTGTCCACGATTCCAGCACCCACAGTTAGGGACCGTTCGTTCCAGGATTTTCTGCGCTATCAACGGCCTCAATATCTTCTGCGTAAAACCAACCGTCTGGCATCTACTACGCATTGCAGTCATTTCTTGTCTCACTACCAATCTTCTCCTGAGTTCTCCGGCATCTTACTACCAGAGTATTCGTACTGGTCACTATACCAATATTCTGTGTTCTTTGGCATCTCTTCCTCAAAGTAATCGTGCTGGTCTCCAGAGCACATTGGCATTTTTTACGCCTAACGATCATCATTGGCAGACATATTTCTTTCCTTTCTTCGAAAAATCAACTGTTGCAGATTTTCCGCTCGCGTTCTGATGACCAGTTTACCTTCATCGAACATAGACTGTCCTGAACTTCTTCTGCGCATGTCCATCGACTCAATTTATCGTTCTTGAACATTGACATGTCTAGACTTCTTCTGCGCATGTTTATTGACTCAATTTATCATATTTGAACATCGACTAGTCTACACTTCTGCGCATGTTTATTGACTCAGTTTATCATCTTCGAACACCGACGAGTTTAGACTTCTTCTGCGCATGTCTATTAAATCAATTTATCATCTTTGAACATCGACTAGTCTACACTTCTGCGCATGTCTTTTGACTCAGTTTATCATCTTCGAACATCGACTAATTTAGACTTCTTCTGCGCATGTCTATTGACTCAGTTTATCATCTTTGAACATCGACTAGTTTAGACTTCTTCTGTGCATGTCTATTGACTCAGACATCATCTTCGAACATCGACTAGTTTAGACTTCTTCTGCGCATGTCAACTGTCTGAATTTACCTATTTTTTGAGCATGGATTATTCTGGTTACTATGGGGATATTTTCAACTGATTCAGCATTCTAGCATTTTGTTTTCATTGTACAAATAAATATCGCCCGTCAACATTTCTGGTTTCTACTTTGTGAGAATCAACTCTTCTGCTGAGTAAACTACACATCATCTTATGCTCTCTCTTCTATGTATACTTTATTGAATTTGTAAAATCACCAATCGTCACGGTCTTCTCGCCAGCGGCATTATATAAACTTTTTGTCCAATCTACTTAGAACATTATTTCATTACTAGATTTCAAGTTCCGAATCTGCTTGCCTTTGTTTTCTCCGGAACACTATTCAAATTTAACAATTTGCATTTGTTTTCCTGATTTCTATTGTTATTTGCCAAGAATAAATTTCGTCTTATTTTATTTGAATTCCTCGCTTTGTGTTGTCTTTGCCTGTGACCTCTCAGATCATTGAGTTTATATTTTTAAATTGTTAGCGGGCACATCTGGTTAATACCACGGCCCCGTTTTTCCGCTACAGTCGTACGGGAGCCGGTGTTTGAATGGGATATGGCCTTAAGCAGCGAAGGTAGAAGGTGTCTAAGTGAGGTGTTTGTAAGGGCATCCAATAGGATGGGAGTAAGAGGTGCGTATTTTGTTCGATATGTAGGATAGACAACGATTGACTCTAGACTTGAAGAGGAGTGTTGAGGAAACTTCCAATTTACCTATGAAATACGAAGAAAATGCGGATGAATAAACGCTGTGTACGTGCCATAGCGGCTTCTGCCTGTGAAGAACTGAACTGTTGAAACTAAAGTATATAGCTTGCCAGGACATCTGTCATGATATTAGCGATCGAGTATCGATAGACTTGCAATATTTCGTCTGTGGCGAAAGTGGTTGGAGGATAGGAAATAATTCATTGTACAAAATGTCGCTAAATTGTTGGAGGATAGGAAATAATTCGTCTTAAAAATTTGACGCTAAATTGTTGGAGGATAGGAAATAATTTATCGTACAAAATGCCGCTAAATAGTTGGAGGATAGGAAATAATTCATCGAAAAAATGCCGCTAAATAGTTGGAGGATAGGAAATAATTCATCGTAAAAATGCCGCTAAATAGTTGGAGGATTGGAAATAATTCATCGTAAAAATGCCGCTAAATAGTTGGAGGATAGGAAATAATTCATCGTAAAAATGCCGCTAAATAGTTGGAGGATAGGAAATAATTCATCGTAAAAATGCCGCTAAATAGTTGGAAGACAGGAAATAATTCATCATACAAAATGCCGCTAAATTGTTGGAGGATAGGAAATAATTTATCGTACAAAATGCCGCTAAATAGTTGGAGGATAGGAAATAATTCATCGAAAAATGCCGCTAAATAGTTGGAGGATAGGAAATAATTCATCGTAAAAATGCCGCTAAATAGTTGGAGGATAGGAAATAATTCATCGTAAAATGCCGCTAAATAGTTGGAGGATAGGAAATAATTCATCGTAAAAAAAAGTTGAGGCTAAAAAGTTGGAGGATGAGGGAAATAATTCATCGTAAAAATGCCGCTAAATAGTTGGAGGATAGGAAATAATTCATCCTACAAAATGCCGCTAAATAGTTGGAGGATAGGAAATAATTCATCCTACAAAATGCCGCTAAATAGTTGGAGGGTAGGAAATAATTCATCGTAAAAAATGCCGCTAAATGGTTGGAGGATAGGAAATAATTCATTGCACAAAATGTTGGTAAATGGCTGGAGGTTAGTAAATAATCCATTGTACAAAATGCCGCTAAATGGTTGGAGGTCAGGAAATAATTCATCGTACAAAATGCCGCTAATGTTGGAGGATAGGAAATAATTCATCGTACAAAATGCTGCTAAATGGTTGGCGGCCAGGAAATAATTTATCGTACAAAATGCCTTATATTGTTGGAGGATAGGAAATAATTCATCGTAAAAAATTACGCTTAATGGTTGGAGGTCAGGAAATAATTCATCGTAAGCAATGCCGCTAAATGGTTGGAGGATAGGAAATAATTCATCGTACAAAATGACCTGTCAAGGCAGTAAAGCGACCATTGGGCGGCTTCGGTCCAATTCGTTAGTTTGTGATTTTAGCGAACTTTCATAATAATATTTTCTTTAACAGGCATACCTTTCACCATGGGGCAATGCCATATCTTGGAGAAAGGGGGTCTTTAATCCAATTGTTTGGACCATTACACTATATTAGTCGCTAGGTTTAAAGGTAAAACATTCAAAGAATACTGTGTACATGCATTTCTAGGAGGGATTCAGGGTGATGTTCATATTATTATTATTAGGAGTAATAGTTTATTGCCTGCCTATCTATCTATCTATCTATCTATCTTCCTAAATATAGAGATGTATCTTCCAAACCTTGTCTGCCTGTTATTTTTTTCTTCGATTTCCGTTTTATACGCATTTTCTTCCGGGTCCCAACCAGAGACTTAAGGTCAGAAATGGCTTCATGATATTTTCCACTGAGAATTTTTGCATAAATAAACAAAGAAACAAACCTAAAAACTAAGATCACATACATTTTAAATAGTTAAAGCTCTTCATAATGTGTGGGAGTACAATTTTTTGTGTTTATTTAAGGCATAAGCGACCACGAATCTCTTCAAATATGTCTATCCAAACCTTTTCCAATCAATCTGAGGGCACCAACTACAAATGAAATTATTGATGTCCGCATGGGAGGCACGGTGGAGTAATGGACAGCGGCTCGGATTGAAGAATCAGAAAACCGTGTTCGAATTCTAGTCGAATCCTTTACATTCACTTACGTGCTAATACCCTTGGGAAAGGTATGAATCCTCTTCTTCTCCCCCTCCCCCAATTGTGGGTAAATAGTAGGATAGACTGGGTTCTATAGCCTTGGATGGCAACTGGTCTACCGCAGAAAGAAATGGCAAACTTCTGCGGGAAAAATCTGCCGTCAGTCATGTATCGAAAGATACATGATCGCCTAAGCGTGTATCACGCATGGCACATAACTGACTGAACTGGGCTTCATTTGATGGAACCCTGCTATTCTCACGGACAGCTCTATGCTGGTTGTTCAATGGTTGGGAATGGAAACAAGCTATTTGTACTGACCCCTAATGGGATTTTTTTAATTTTAATTTTCATCATACTACTATAATCCATTACATTCACTTACGTGCTTGGGAAAGGTATAATGAATCCTCTTCTCCCCACCTCAGCTATGAGTAAATAGCAGGACAGGCCGGGTTCTATTGCCTTGGATGGAAATTGGTCTACCGCACAAAGAAATGGCAACCTACTGTGAACAAAAACCTGCCTCGATCTTTCAATACATGATTTGCCTAAGTGTGTATCACACATGGCACATAACTGCTATTCTCAAGGACAGCTCTATGTTGGTTGTTCAATGGTTGGGAATGGAAACAAGCTATTTGTACTGACCATTAATGGGATTTTTTTTATTTTAATTTTCATAATACCACTATAATCCATTACATTTACTTACGTGCTAATAAAAAAAATGAACAAAATGAGAAAGTTCTAGACAAGGACTGTAGATAGAAGAGTTTAATTAAAAGAAGGTTGAATAGATAGAAGAAGGCAGCGACAGAAATGTTGTGGTTATAATAATAATAATAATAATAATAATAATAATAATAATAATAAAAAGATGAAAATGTAAGTCCGACTGTAAATAATGTAAATAATGATAACACATCATTCCAAAAGTTCTGAGCGAAAATAGCGCATTGAGACAAGTAACGACTATGAGGCAAGGTGTAGTAATGGATAGCGGCTTGGATTGAGGAATCGGAGAGCCGAGTTCGAATTCCAGTCGAATCCATTACTTTCACTTACGTGCTAAATACCCTTGGGAAATATATGAATCCTCCTCTTCTCACCCCCAGCTATGGGTAAATAGCAGGACAGACCGGATTCTATAGCCTTGGATGGCAATGGGTCTACCGTAGAAAGAAATGGTAACCTACTGCGGGAAAAAATCTGCCTCGTCAGTCATGTATCGAAAGATACATGATCGCCTAAGCATGGCACATAATTGACTGACATGTGA